GGGGCCGACCCGCTTGGGAGCCTGCTCCCTCAGCCCCTAGGCCATGGAGACAGGTAGCTGCTCTGTGTTTGCAGCAAACAAAACCATCCATTTTTGTATGCCAAAAGGCAAATCAGTCTTTCTAGAGAATAGGTAGTGGTCTGATGCTTCAGAAAGACAAATCTTACATAGGAAAGGTGTAGAGGGGTTCTCAAGAATAGAAAAGGAGAATCTACACTGATTTCAGAAGCTAGTAGAATGTAGCTACCAATGTCTAAAATTGGAAATTGAGTACGGATAGCCTCTTTCAAGTTGCTGATGACCTGCTAGTACATATTTTACTTATATTGTGATCCCTTCAAAGGTAGGAGTGGATGACACCTTCTAAATATCTCCTAGAAAACAATTGGCACTTTTTTCTTAAATATCCATTAAAATAAGAAAACAAAAATTATGAAATCACCCTGTAAGCTGAAGTCTTTAATATCGTGCTCCGAATGTGAGTGATCATAGTTAAAGTGAAGTGATGTAATAATAACAATTAAATGGGAAACAGGAGGACCTGACTATATATATGTCATACATCGAGTCAGAAAAATCATGACGTCATTTTTGCACAGAAAGACATAGAAACATATGTCCTGACTTTTCTGATGACATAATAGACTATCACCTGAGAACTTGAAAAGTACGCGTTGAATTCTAATCTATTCTAAATTGATGCTTACCTTTATACAAGCCAATCTTATGATAATCAAGAAAATCACTCAACTATTTCAGTTGATTACAAAGATGAATTATATTCTATATTAGTACTGGTTTTCTGTTGTTTATTACATGCTGCTAGTCATGGATCCTCTTAGCAAAAGGTCAGAGCATTTTCCAGGCTTATTTTCTCAGAAGGTTTGAAGTATTGCTGATCGTGTGTGAATGCCCACTGGATAATCCCGGTACCTACAAAAGCTCTTTAAAAAGTTTGTAGGAAAAAAATGGAATTAAAATAAAAGTTAATTTTGTTGCAAAAATATTTTTGAAATCCATATATATATATATATATA